TAGTGAGCATCTTGAGCTTATAGTGTGATTTTTGTGTGCCAAAAGGAGAAGTTAGTGCATGAAAGGAGTCAAGGAAGGAAGCAAGCTTGTAGATCTGGGATTATCATCTTCGTGGGAAGCTTCAAAAGGTATAAATCTTCTACCTTTATGTTTGGATTTTTTAGATCTTGCTTTGGTTGCTTTTTGGTATCCTTCTTGTCCCAAGAGTCCCAATAATGTGCATGTTTTATTTTAGTCGTGTTGGGCTGTCCTTTCAGACCCTAGGATGGGTCATAAGGCATAAAAATGAGGTCCCTTGAGCTAGTTTGGTCCCTTGTTCTTTGTAGGAGGTATTAATGGATTAAGACCATGCATTAAGCCCTTTTTAGATGACCAAAGTCTTAAAGTTTGAGACTTTATGGTTCTAGAGTACTTTTGAGTCATGGATCTGAAGTTTGAGCTTAGGTGCTTAATTCATTAAGCACTTATTAGGATTTTAAGACTTGCGAGGGTACGCCCCACGTAAGTTATGTACGCCCCGCATACTGAGTCAACCACCCCGATGGTGGTCAATGCGAGGCGAGGTACGCCCAGCGTACCGAAGGGGTACGCCTCGCGTACGCCTTCTGTGAGGGTTTCAGACTTTGGGCTTCGGGTATTGGGCTTTGATACTTGGTCCCTAATGGACCATCTGGATAAGTGTGTTTTGGGTTAATTAGAGGATTGGACCTTTGGATGAGGCCCAATAAGGGGTTTGGGCCCAATTTGGAAAATTGGGCCAATCATGGGCCTTGAAGTAAATAAGGCCTTTTAGATCAAAGATTTGGACTTGGGCTTGGCATAATTAGGGAAAGGGTAAAATGGACAATTACCCTATGTTTGGACCTTAGTCAAGAATGGTATCCCAATTGTTAATTGGGTGTTTGTTTATTGTGATAGTTCGGGATTTTCCGTGAGTCAACAGTGAGGGATTTCAGTGTAGCTTAACATTTGAGAGGTCAGTTTTCCTCGTACTTATGGGTTGAAGGCACCAAATCCGGCCCTTTGGATTGTTATCCTGATTGTTGTATGATTATGTACTGTAGTGATCTGTTAGATCTAAATCCTGGTAGATAGGATGATGCTATGCTTATTGTTATGTATGATCTGTGCTTGACTGATTAATTGATTATATGTTTATGAGTTATATGTCGACATGTGTGTGTGTGGTTGGGTTGAGGCAGTCCTGCTTTGTGCTGAAGGCCGACAGACCCAGGGCGGCCCGGATAGACTGAAGGTCTACGAGGCGGACCAGTCAGGCCGAAGGCCCAGAGAATGGTCCAGACAGGCTGAAGGCCCGATGAGGCGGTCCAGACATGCTGAAGGTTTTGTATGCCTGCTGTTACTGTGATATTTATGATTATGTATTGTGGTGGTATTTTAGGGGAAACACACTAAGCTTTGGTCTTACAGTTTAGATTATGTTTCAGGTACCTCAGAGGATCGCGGGAAGGCGAAGGCGTAATCGTGCACCTCCTCATGTTTTTGTTTTACGATTATGGGATTTTCTCTGATATGAAACTTATTTTGAAAACAATTTGTAAATAATGATGGTTTTGGGTTTGTTTAAAAAGTTTAAAATTTTCAACAATATTATGAATGTTACAGTTTGTATCTTCTTCATCCATAATTTTATATTTCATGTTATAGTTTTAACTTAATTTATCTATTTTATTAAGTATGACGGGTAAATGTATTTTTATGAAAATAAATAATTTATTTGTTTCGGATTAAAATAAATATTTTTAAACATTTCAAAATAATTTCAATAGAATAAAAAAATAATTATAAATTTATTTAATTAATAAAAAATTAGGCTGTTAAAATTAAGATTAGTCATAAATTTTATTTATTTAATAAAAAATTGAGTTGAATTTGGTTGTTAATTTTTTTTAAACGGAAAATACAAATATATATATATATATATATATATATATATATATATATATATATATATATATATATATAT